ATTGTTCAAATGTCTTCTCTAGAACAGCTGCCCTTTTGTGTCTAGGAAATGAAGCAGAAAAAACAAAGTATGTTTAAAAAGGAAACAAAGTTTCGTGAGCTACCTCTGCTTTTTTTCTCAGTGTGAAATTGAAGTTAGAGATTTTTTTTTTTTAACGTACCTATGGTATTGCAATACTCCTGTGACAAATAAGATATGTAGGCTATGTGTACTAGTTTTTAACAGTTGAAAAAAAAATACATTACAGAGGGACCCAATGGAGGCTTGAGAACAAAATCGGGAGAAGACGAGACACCTTCTGTGTTTTGTGAAAACAAGGATTTTGGAAGACTGCTTACTGCTTACCTGGAGCTTTCAGAGTTATGTGGATCTTGCTAGGATTGGAGCCTCTTCACCTGAGGGACATAAAAGCTTCCCACATAGATGGTTATTTCTAACACTGAGGAAGCCTTCGGTGCATTTCAACTCTTGGCATGGCCAAGGGTTTTAAATGGGGGGGGGCGGGGGGACAGCGGGGCAGTGTCAGTTGTGACAACGATTGTCACTGGATGTTTTCCAGTGAGAGTGGTCTGGCCTCCTCTTAATTGGAGCTTGTTTCAGATTGTTTAGGGAGTATTCAGTTACCAATGCCGCATTTCCAGTTTCAAATTTTTTTTCCTTTTGTATTTGAATTGGCATTGCTGGTTCCATGGGCTATCTACTCCCTGCATTTTGGTCGTCTTTGTTCACAGTACGTAGTGCTTGTGTTATACTCTCAATGGCAGCCTTCCTAGACTGTTCCCATGCTTTTCCAGTAATTATTTTTATGGTTTTCTCTATCCTGTTCTTTAAGCTGGGAACCTCATTTGAGGTAGCCTTAGGGTCACTAATCTATCCTCTTTCAGATCCTTTCTCAGGTCTCACTTCTACAATAACATTTGAAAGAATTAAACTAAGTAGAGGAGCAGTTGTATATTGAGGGAGAAAATATTTTTAAAGTAACCATATACTTTTTACTACTTTTCCTTCTCATTTTTATGTTGTGATTTTAGGTGGTGAGCTGTAGAAGCAGGGTCTGTTTCTTCTCTATCCTTTCAGTGCCTTGAACATTAAGGATACTGTTACAGTATTGATAATATAGGGGCAAAAATAATAGGGGTTTAAGGTCAGAAAAGAGCATAGTCAAGTAAACACCTTAATACTAATGCTGCACATTCATTGTCCTTGTTGATTTCAGTTGCTGTTCTCAGTGTTCAGCTTTTCTGAAAAATGATCTTCAATTGCTTCAAAACTGGCCAGTCTAGAAATAGAGGACATGCTATTAATGACTCTCGGAATTCTGGATCATTATTCCCTGTTAATGTGTATGTAACTATTTCTGGTATTTATCTAGCTCCAATTCCCAGATATTGCACCTTTTTTACAAAAGCAATAATTTTTTTCTGTATTTTGCAGCTAGGGAGGTATGGGCTGTCTTTAATACTGTTTAAATTTTTATGCAAAAAACGTTGTATCAAGTTGCATATACTTCTGCGAATAAAGTTAGGTGGGGTTATAATTTTCACTACTAGTTATCTTGTAGAGGCTCATTACATGTATTTTATTTTTTAATATCTTAGACAGTGTTTTGCCTGTGCTATAAATACTTATATCTGTTCTGTGGAGAAGCTCTAGCAGCTTGTTTCTCTGAAGCAGAGTATTTAGAGGGGGACAAGATGTGGCACAGTGATGTTGAGCGTATACCTTCTGCCGAGGGCATACATTTTTCTGAGAACATTTGTTTGGATAAATCCCAAGTGCTTTGTTACAGGCTGCTGTGAAGGTGGGCACCACAGTGGAAATTAGAAAATTCTCTCTCTGTTGCTTATAGTGCCTTTCTAAGGAATGCATAAGTATGATGGAGAGTCTCAGTGCTCAAACATAACTCTGAAAGTGCTTGGGAAGTATTAGAGGGGCTAGAGAATAAGGATTTGGAGAAGAAATCTGAGGACGGAGAATGCTGGGAAGTGGGATGAGATAATGAAACTAGGAACTAGCTGGACAAGGAGACTGAGGATGAGAGCTAGGGGAGCAATTAACAGGTGTGGGAAGCATTAGGAGAAGCGGAGGAACTCGGATGAGGAACAGGGAGGAAATGGAAGGAGAAACAAGCTAGGGACAGTTGTGACCAAGGGGTGGAAAGATGAAGAGACAGGACTATAAGGAAGACAAGTTTCACAGACGTTGTTGCAGGATGATGTTAATCAGTGCTAAGCAGGTTTAATTTGTGGGCACCAAGATACCAGTATGTTTTAAGGAGGAACTGAAGAAGGCATAAGGCAGAGGTTTTAGGACTCTCTGATGGAGATTTCTTCGTGTATCTGAAGAACTGGAGGAAGTTGAGGGAGCAGGTTCTATATTGCTGCTGGACCATGCTTCCCCTAGAATCTAGAGTACAGCCTGAAATTCCTGATTCTTGCTTCTTGTATGTCAGCATCTGTCTATGAGACTCACTGGACCGCGTTCCCCTCTTTTGGTGGTCCTCACTGAAGTGGACACTGTAGTGATGTCAGTTGCTCCATTAGCTCATGTCGCAGGTGGATGGCTGTTCCTAAAGCTGTGTCTGCCAGCGAGCCCTGGGAACACCAGGATACTGACACATGAGGGCATTTCAGTCTGAATTCTAAAAGCCAAAAACGTTATGTGTTTGCATGCCATTATGGACATGTAAATGATCTCTGTTCAAAGAATGGTAAAGTTTTTGTGTCCAACTCTTGGCAGCTATACAATGACAACTTTGACTTGAAATCAGATTAGCTGCAACTCCTATGCGTGTGTTTTGATGATAATCATAGAATGGTTTGGATTGGAAGGGACCTTAACAACCATGTAGTTCCAACCTCCCTGCCATGGGCAGGGACACCTTCCACTAGATCTGGCTGCTCAAGACTTATCCAAACTGGCCTTGAATACGCCCAGGGATGGGGCATCCATAATACTGGAATACCTAGCTCTTTCATAGTGCTGTGCACCAGTAGCTATCTTGGCAACTTTAGGCAGGAGGAGGTATCGTCCCCTATTCTTCCCCAAACAAGAAAGTGGAAAAAGAAATTCAATGTACTTGATGCAGTCCCCACACAAGCCATTGCTGCTGCCATTTCTCTGTTCAGCAGTGCCAGCTGTCCCAGGTCAGCTGGACACTCTCCTTTCATAAATTCCGTTGTGTTTGCATGCTCCTAGAGCATCAGTGATTGCACTCTTCTGCATTTTGTAATTTTAAAAACTTAAGGTTTATTTTGTGCTGATGTAAAACATCAGGGAAGTTTATGATGTGTGGAACTGTAGGGGCCCTTTTGGATTAGCTGTCTACTCTGTAGCTACTTGCAGTTTTGGAAGACTGCACATAGTGACCCAGGTAATCTTTCCATATTTTTTGTTTCTCTGGATATTCTGTGGTTAAAAAAATGAGGCATGTATGTATAATCACGTCATGCCATATTCATATGATGTTATGCTTTGTTACCTTAAAAGTATGACAAACTGTTTCCCTCCATGCAAGCATTTAAGAGTTTGAAACTTATGCCAACTGTTCCTTGCTCCCATCCCAAATCATCAGTTACTCAAATTGCAAACTTTTAGGTAGGCTTTTTTTCAGCTAAGAGAAGGAGCAAATGAAGAAGGGTATTGTAAAACTGCAAAAAAAAAAATGTATCCTTTTACCATTTACATCTAACTTTTTTTTGGAACGGACCTTTCCCTCACTTTACCATCCACTCAGGTTTTGTTTCTGTCTTCCACAAGGACTTTGTACATAATATACATGTATGAAAATATTTCCATAAAAATCCTAAAGTTACCACCCTCCCTTAAACTTGTCTTTAAAATCTTTCCCTGCTGTGGTGCACACTGAACTGGTATGTGACCCTGCTTAGCCTGGTCCTTATTAGTGTGACAATGTCTAGGGACTGCCTTGATCTTACTTAAGCTCTTACCATGTTTACCTATATGCAGCTTTATTGATATCCTTACCGTTTACACATGCAGATGTGCAAGGAAAAAAAAAACATAGTTTGGTGATTCCTGAAGAGTGTACAGCTCAACCATTGGAAGTGCATGTGGTTCAGGCACCACCAATGCCGATAGAGAATACTCTGCAGTGAGATGTAGATGTGCTGGAGATAGCCTCTTGCTTTGTGAAAGGGGTTGCAGTAGGTTAAAGCAGAAGAAATGGGAAGGAAGAGTAACCAGTAAAAGTTGCTTAAATTACTTAATTTTGACGTTTCTGGGGATGCATATCACTAAATAACGTGTTCCAGTCTTCTCTTGTTCTTTATTTCTTTAATGCTGAAATCAGATCTTTTTTCATAAAAATATGTATGTTTTTACTACAAATGTTTGAAAACTGCTAGTGTTTTTCATTTGCCAATGTTATAGTGAAATATAACTTACCATTAATAAATAATTTTTCTTAGTTCAGAATACTTAGTGAAACCACGTAAGAACCATGGTATGCATAAATATACCCTCATAAAAGATCATACAAATAATGCTACAGTTTTCAGAAAATAGTATCTGGGCATTATCTAATTCCTGGGATGAGGGAGCTAAATTTTTTTTTTTTTTTTCTACAGCAAATAATCACAATAATGCATATATTCAATGACAATAATGCATATATTCATTATTGCTCTCTTTTTGTTTGCTTACTGAACTATCAAATGTGCAAATGACACTTAAAAGTTACTTTATATTTGTGTGATGCTAATGCAGCGTTTGCCTGCAAGGAGGTTGGTAGAGCTTGTTAATAGGCATTTGTGTTTTCCGTAGCATAATGCTGCCACCTGATGGCAGAAAGAATTGAGACAAAATAGTATATGCTTTTTCGAGCTGTAAAGACTTTGTTTCGGTGTGATTAGTACGGTGGCATTTAATATGTCTTAAAGGGAGTAACCATCTTTACAGGATTACTCCTTGAAACTGCAGGGAAGCACTTTTGTCTCTCTGGTGTTTTAATACATTCAATGTTTTGTTTTGGAAAGTAGGATGACTGGAAGCCTAGCATCGCTTTCGTTGTTGGGACCAAAATTGAGGATGAAATCCACACCAAGGCCCTGTCTCTTGCTGTGCAGGTGCCACAGCGGAAGCTCTTCAGTGTGGTAACATATGAAGACATTTTCAGACAGGTATTCCAAGAAAGGAACTTTTAATAACAAACCAAACACTAGATTTCCTTTCTAGATACCAACTTCTTTTGTCTGTGGTAACTTAAGTTTTGTATTCATTGAATTACTCTGTGAAAGTTTTAAGAAATTACACTAATTCATAGGAGATAAAAATGGAAAGAGAAAAGCTTACTGTATAAGCTGGTCTACTCCCTGTCAATAGTAAGGACTCTTCTTCAAGGTGCTGATCACAAAAGCTCTCCTCCCTAAGGTACAGGGGTACCCTAAGATGATTCCTCACTGTTTTGGAGTGCAAGTGTAGTGTTTACGAAAGAGATGAATGAGTAAAATAATGTGTGTAAACTTAAAATCTTCTCACAGTAGAATGCTTTATTTCCTTGCAGGTCAGAGAATCTGGGAATCAAAAGGGCAAAAAGGTTAAGGATGTGCCTGTGTACTATGAGGTAGGTTAAAATATGTATTGCAGAGCCGGTACTCTTTTACATGGAAGTATAAATAATACAGCTGTGTGATTGTGTTATGCATACCTGAGTTCATGCAAATCTATTGGATGTAGCTGGCAAACCCACTCAACCATCTTGATACTTAAACTGCTTTCTTTTTGTGATACAAACAGTGTTCTGTTGGACTGCTAATTAAGTGAAGATCAAGATGTCTTTTTAGGGATACGAGTTTTATTGTGTTAAAAATATGTTATGTGGTCATATTTTGATGGTCATGTCACAAATTACAGGAAAACGATTAGACTGCTCTCTCAGATGCTCTCAGTGATTTGGAGACTTATACCTTCATTTATGCAAATGCAGTCCCGTCAATGAAAGACCATCTCTGTGTGCTAGTATCCATTATAATCTCAGTTTGATGTTAAATTCTAACCTGGTTCATCTAGTGGGGTATGTCAGCAGCGTTAGGAATCATGCCTAGTACAAAGAGTACTTCCTCCTGCCTTGTTAATGTTTTACTTAGAGCTTGTGAGAGGTTATAAAATCCTGTGATTAATTAGAAGATTGTTTAAAATTTTCTCAGGTAGAGTTTTATGGCCCTACAGACCTGGAACATAAAGAATTTTGGATCCCTCTAAAAAGATCTTGTTTGCGTTTTAGTTCTGCAATGACTAATAAACTTTTTATGTGTCTCAGGTTTTGGTGGACTTTATAACAGGTCTTTCTGGTTGCAGTCTGTTTTTCAGTAATGCCAGACTGCTATCTGAACAAGTCCCTTTGGAATTATTTACCACTGACATGACTGTGAATTTTATGCAATTAGCCCTCTTCATTTAGGACTAGCCTCCCAGGCAAACTCTCCCTTATATTATCTGGTGTGTAAAAACTCCTCAGTCCTACTGACAGAAGGATTTTGAAGTCTAGCTCTAAGCAGAAGCTTTGTATGATACCTGTATTTAATTACTAAGAACAATTTTCCTTGTGAAGTGGATACTTATTAAATTCCAGCTGTCAGTGCTGTGTCTCATTAGCTACTTACTTTACTCCTCAAAGACATTTTTTTTTCCTCCCCTCCTTTAACAGAGAATATAAAATGCCTGTTCTGACCTTTTGCTTGGACTCAGTTTCCGTTCTGACTGTAGCAAATTAAAAGATTGATCATGTTGCCACAAGCATTGAGATCCTGCCCCTCTGGGCAGAATTTACTCCTCTGAGTGTTCACGTAAAGTCAATGTGCAAAGTTTGTGCATTCAAAGCTTTCACTGCAGTAAGGATAAACAAGTACAGGGTTAGCACAAAACCACAGGTTGTGAAATGTTCTTCTGAGAGGGCCATTTCTATATTCACTGCATACGGTTCTCTTCTCTGTGGTAGGATTCAACACACTGGCATTTCCACAAGCGCATACTCATTTCTAGGCAGACTGTGAATGAGATTCTTGACATTTAATGGTCTTTGAACATATGGCGTGTACATATGTGTGAATTTGGGACTGATGGCATACGTAGTAATTTGGTTATTATGGTATTAATAGTAACATTCTTACCCATGTCATTGGTCTTGCACATTGCATCTACTGAAATGCAGATGTTTTTACTGAATTTCAGATCAAGAAACTTTAACAAACTGCTTTTGGTGTATTGCAAGCTAATTATATATAATACTAAAATAATTCCTGTTGTCTATTCTAAATTATTTCCCTTCGGGGTTTCTATCATCTTGCTGTGTTGTATTTCATATCACTCTTATTGTAAAAAATGAAGAGGATCAGGGCAGGGTTTATGAATATGTAGCTAAAAGATTTCCAAATCCAGGACAATTAGGTGTTTAACACCTTTTCTGTCTCTTAAGTGAATTGATGGGAGTAGGAGTTGGTAATTTTGTGCTAATTCCAGCACTTAATTAAATGATGTTAGATGGAATCTCTCATAGTGATGCCCTGGAAATTATTTTTTTTTCTTTGTATATGGAAGTGAAAATGTTACGCTTCCTGTAAAATATCAACAGATTTCATAATGAACATTAATTTATCATGTACAGTTTTTCCAACAGACAAGACCTAAAACTATGGTATGTTTGAATAAAACATATGCGTTATAAATAAGGTATGTATCTTTTATTGTTTATGTGCCTGGTTTTTTTATCAGCTTTCTATTAAGGTTGGTAATGTCAAGTGCAATTAAGGTGCTTTACCACTACTAAATATGATAGTGTTTTAGTTTCCAAACTTTTGAATTTTGAAAATCTATTCAAGCCTAAATTTTCCATACTAGGTTTGTTCATGAGGCTGATTTTTGTTTTTCTTCTTTTTTGTTTTCTCCGCTCCCACCCCCCCCAAAAAAAAAAAAAAAAAAAATTCTGGTGAGATTGAGTTCAGGGGCTGTGTGGATGAAGGATTCTTCACACCCCCACCCTCCCGGCCCCTCCTTGTAAGAGTTGTTTTCTGGTTTTGTTGGACTCACTGGGACAGGGTCAGGAAATTTGCCTTTATGTTACACAGGAAATTCTGAGGAGAAATCTTGTCCAATACTCTTAAAGGAACAAGCTGGAGCTGAGGATTAGTACCATGGTGAGAAAAGATTGTGAAAGAAGATTGAACCTTATGTGGCCCCTTCGTGTGAGAAGTCTGGAAGTAGATAGATGGTGTTGCTGAAGATGGACAGTTAATAAGGGACATGGCCATGAGAGGTAGAGGGATGGAAGTAAGAGAGATGTAGAACAATTTTGTGATTCTTGTACATAAGCTGAGATGCTTGGGATAAAGGGTTATGGAAAGAAGAAAAAGGCACAAGTGGCAGAAACAGGTTTGGATGTGGATCCCAGAATGCTGCTTTCAAAATGTGTCCTTGTGCTTGTGAAGCCAGCAGAACTGAAGTCTTGTAACAAGCACCATCCTTCCACACTGCTCTGAATCATCTCCAGGACAAACCATCCTGTGTAATCAAAAAGGCCTAACTGCAATTAAAAATATTAATCTTTATTCTGCTACCTGTCAAGAATTAATATATTAATTCTGTTTCCTCACAGCAAGGCTCCTACCTATAGTTGTCAAGCTAAAAAATATAATCAAAGCAGATGTCAAATCCAAATTGTGGCCCATTCTCATCATGGAAATCTGTGAGACTGTAGCAGAATAAATCAGTTGTAAATAAGTATTTCCCAGCTGTTAATCACTGGGTAGATAGCTAACTCTACTGGCATCTCCCATTTTGAGGATGGGAGGCAGCATGAGTAGGGTGCACAGCATTCCAGAAATCCTCACAAGACTATGATTCCTTGAGGACAGTTAGAAAGGCTCCTAGGCATGGCAAAAACAAGCCTAAGGAGTAAATTAATCTTCTGCTAGGCTCTGTATAGTATGCTCTGGAAGAGTGGAAGCATGCTTTAAGTAGAAAAGATGGACACAACCCAGGGGAGGAGGCCATTACACAAGTGGAGCAACATCTGTGATAGCAGCAAATCCCATAACTTGCAGGGGGTGGGAGGAGGAGGCGGTTGGAGAAGGCATTCATACTGGAAAGAAAAAGGTAAATGAATTATCAGGGCTTTAGACTTCAAATGTAGTGGAAGCGTTTGGTGTAGTTGAAAGGAAAGTTTCCTGTAAGTGATTTTTTTTTTTTTTTTCAGTCCTGCACCCTGTCTTTAATGAAGCTTTTTTCTCCTCTCTCTCTTTCCTTCCCCTGTGAGACACAGAGCTTTGAAAAGAAGAGTTTTCCTTCTCCCTTCATCTCTAGTAAACTGCTCCAATGCTATGCGTGTTCTCAGTCTAGGCTGGGAAGGGCTTGGTAAATGCCTAGTATTTTAGGCTTGCATGGTTACAGCTTACACTGTTCTGGCTTACAAGAGGATTTAAATGTGAGTTATGTCACTTCTCTAATAGCTAACTTTTCTGGTCAGGTGTGAAAATTTTGGACTTCTTTTTCAGGTGTAAATATGATCTGGTTTCCCAAGACCATAGTGAATGCTGCAGAAATAAATAAATATATATAAATATATATATATATGCACAAAATAACTAAGTTGTTTTGATTTGTCTGTTTTGGGGACAAAGGCTACTGACAAGAAGATTTCTAAACACTGTAGCCCAAGAGTTGGATTTCTTACCAATGTTGCTATCACCAGTTTGTTTTATGTTCTGTGAAATTAGTAGATAGATAGATTTGATTGGCAGATAAGACTGTTGTGACCTGTAACACACGTCACAGTATTTTTTTCAAAAATAATCTCTGTTGAAATTTTTAAAATCAAGTTTGAATGTTTTTTTCTAAATGATTTAAAACAATTGAGAATCTGCTACAACTTAGTTTGCTTCTGGGAAGACCTTTCCTGATAAAAGTTACCTCTAGTTTCAGTGTAAATGTCTGTTTCAATGTATGGCTTACATTTTTACCATGTAAATATGTAAAAAATAGCTATGTTTACTAAATTACATAAAATCTTGCGATTGATATTCTCTGTGTAGAGAGTTTGAGGTTGCTAAATAAAGAGGAAAATTAAGGGACAATTTGAACACAATGTGTGATAAATTCCTTCATCTTTTTTTTTCAATTCTTTAAAAATTTCTGTTCTCTAACAAACATTTACAATTCACAATTTTTAGTTATCTGTGGACACTGAATGCACTTAGTGTTTTTGTTGAAAACACGTAAGATACAGGCATAACATAACACATGTACTCCTACTTGATAACTCATTGTATACAAATCTGAAGATTGTGTAAGTTATCTTGGCTGCTGCCTTGCATTGAGAGCTAATTTTGGATTGATTGATTCATCAGTCATTGACTAACGAGTCCTTCACAAAGTTACCACTTTACAGGTTCTCCATCCTGTAAATTTGGAATGTTTTCTTTCTTCTGAGATGTGTCTTGTAATTTAGCAAAATCAAATCATACTGCTTTCTTGCACTACACTAACTACATTAACCAAATTTCTTTGTATGACTGAGTTTTCCACTACATTCTTTGTCTCCCATGGTTATTCTGTCTCCTGGAGATCTTA